GATAAAAATAAAACAGAAACAGAAACAAAACCAGTACTAATATGATTGGATTAACAAAACTTGACGGCTAATCTTAGTTAATTTTCCAGTTTCTTGTAAAAATTATTGGAAAAGGCACTTTTTTTTGTGTCTGAAGTTTTGCATATTAACGACTCTAAATGGTCCATTCACTGTGATGTTGCTGCTAGGTATCTCACGAAAAATATGATTGGACTTACATGACATATTCGAATTGAAACATACTTTCCATTAGTAGATATTCACTTCATGTTATGCTCATCGAATAGCACGATCTAATAAATGTGTAATGCAATTAAAACTCTAACAGATTCATGTAAAATATAATATCATACTGCTAATCAACGAAATTGTTAGATGTTATTGATTATTGCGTCGCTAGATTAAATGACCCAACAACATAATCATAAAACTTCATACACTTAAAATGTAACATCCCACTTCATTCCCAGTGCAATACATAGAATATTGATTCTAGATATAAAATTGAGCTTATTAAACTAAATATAATGAAAATTTCTTGCTTTCAAAGCAAGAAAAAACTAGAAAGCCAGTCAAATGTATATATATGAATCCTTTAATTTTATTGTTAATGGTTTGTTTTTTCTCAAAAGAATAAAAAATCAAAATTGAATTAAAAAATGGAAATGAAGTTGAAAGTTGGAACTGTGTTTGGTCAAATGGAATCCACCAACTTGTCGCCAACATTAATGAATTGTCAGTAAACGGATCCCACTATTTCTAAAACAACGTTCAAATTCCACTTACACACTATCCTTCTTCTTAGGCACAAAATCAAAAGGCTAAAATCCTTTAGAATATAGAAACTTAACTAACACAACACTCTCAAAATTTAAAGACATGTTATAGATATTGTAATATATATACTAAATTGATACAATCTCAAAAGTTGAGAATACCCCAACTTCCACTCAAATTTCCATTCATTATACTAAAAAAAAACATTATATTTCAAATTTAAAAGGAAAAATTCAAAATGTATTTGGGGGCTTGTATTAGTATTTTTCTTACCTTTTATATTAACCAATTTTTAAAATAATTTTAATTCCTCAATTAAAATGGCTTTTTTATTTTAACTTTCTTTCATATATATTATCGACATGGTCAATGTGGTACATTGGAGCATACAAGCGGTTTGACTAGATTCATGTCAAAATTATAGTTTCATAAACATTATGAAACAAGCATATGATAATTCGAGCTAAGTATTCACTAATATGTACTAATTTACATCCTAACATTTTTCATATGTAAGGTTTCATATTCAATAATCATTATCCTCCAATTTATTGAAATAAAAATATTAAACTTAACTTAATAAAAAAAAAACTAGCACATTTATATAAAAATAGTTCAAAAAAGTAAATGTCAAAGTGAGTTTAATTTAGCGGCAATTGACACATACTTCCATCCATGTAGTTGTGAGTTCAAATCCTTTATTTCGTTGTACAAACCTAGAAAAGTTTATTATTATGACAGGAAGAATAATGACACTATTAACGGAAAAATAGCTAATTTGCCACAATTAAGAGGTAAGGGATCGAAAGGTGGACCATTTCCCAACCTTTCCCATGTCCTATGGATCATGATCTACAAATTAAGTACAAGACAAAATCAAATCAATGATCCAGTCAAATCATAGCAAATAAAATTAATTTAGATTTGATTAAGGACTTCATTTTACTAGTTAAGACACCTCTATATTTTTAAAATAATTGAAACAAAAATAAATAAATAAATAATGGATTGGATTCTCAAACTCAGGTACTTCTCTAAGGAATTAAAAGAGGTTGGAATTTCAAATGATTTAGTTAAAATTGAATTCAACCAAACTATGTAAAATTTTATTAATTGACAATCTCTGCATTAAAGGCAAAAATCTAATGAGAATCCTCTCCCGTATAGTCCCATAATTGTCACATTAATTGGGTGCTTTTTACTATATAAAAAAAACAGAAATAAAAAGACAGAAAGGACCTAAAATGTAAGATAGAATCGCAAATCCAAACTATTTGGAAAATATTTTTTAAAAGCTAATTTAGAAAATCGGCAAATTTTAGGAATTCAAAAAGTTATATAATATATATATATATATATCTTTTGTTATTATCCAAAATTGTTCTTTTTACGATTTATTATTTAGAAAAATCTGTGTATCACCGCAAAATGTACCACGACGACGTGTTTTCCATGGAAACATTGAATGCCACGTTCTTATCTCCACCAAACTTTCTTCCAAAGTTGCAATTAATACAGTCCCCAACATTTCACTGATTGCGTCAATCAATTAAGAAAAAATAAAAGGCGAACCCAATTTACGCAATTAAAATCGATTAATGAACTATTGCAGAAAGACCCCTTAATCGAATCATTAATCAATTACCTTCTTTCCCCATTAAACAATGATTCTATCTATTCTCATTATTTAAATTTCCCCTTTCAATGTTCCTTTTTCTTTTTCTTTTATTTTTTGTTAATAAAGTTTGGACATGAAGACCCCACAGGCCACAGTGGCCATTTTCGAGTGCGGAGGCCGGGAGTGGATATGGGGTCCTTCCGCGGGGGAAAAAAAAGAAAAAAGAAAAAGAGTAAAAATGAGGAAGAAAAAGTTGAAGTTGCACGCTTTTGCATGCCCAAGAAATTGATTACAATGAAATATTTTAATAAGTTTTTAAAAATTCGAAGAAGAAGGTGA